TTTTTTTTTTTTTTTTTTAACACTGAGGAAGCTAAGGCTTGGGTGAGGCTGAATCCCTTGTCCAGAGTCACACACACTCTGTGGCAAAGCCACAGTGCTGCACACCAGGGCTATTTGGAAAAGCCTGAGTTCCTGCCATTCTGCTATACTTGCTGTTCAGATTCCTGGGGATATTAACTTGTAATGAAGTAAATCTAGAGGAGAAGATGAAGGGGGGAAATGTTGGGTACATTTTGTCTTCTGAAAGTATTCTTCAGTGGGGAAAAACACCATCCTCATCCTCATTAACCACATACATTTTGAACACCGTCTACTTTGAGCCCAGTTCTTAAAGTCAATGCAATGATTGTGAATGCCTCTGCTTACTACAGGGACATTAATCGAGAGACAAAGAAGGCATCAATTCAAACTTCCTTGGACACCTTTTTTAAGAGACCTGGGCCATCCAAACCATCCCCCAAAGCCCTTCTAAATTCTAAGAAGGCAAGCAAAATTATTGTTAATAATGTTTAATGTGTATTATGGCTAGCCTACTAGCTTAGGTCAAATTTCTAGTATGGTAGAGTTGTAATTTTTTTAGCAGTATTTACACATTACATTGAAATCCTGAATAATCTGTGTATAGTGTATTTTAAAGGCCCTTTGGACCTTAAAGCACAATTTTACTACTTTAAACAATTCTAGAATACTGCAATAATTTGGGATTTTTTTGTTGCTGTTGTTTACTTGCTTTCCTTTCATTTTCTAGCATACTGTTTGGTATGTACGAATTATGTGATGATGGGTGCTTTTGTCAGGAAGTAGCCAGAAATCTCACAGATTCATATAGTTTAAGAAACAGGAGAGCCTTGGAGGCCCTAGAGGTACTGGAATAATCAATAAAACTAGAGAAAGGGCTTTGGGCATTATAAAGCATTAGATAAATATCAGAGGTTGTATGCATTGTTATGCACCCATTCCTAGGAAATAATTTTGAGATACAAATGGCTTATTCCTTTCAGTGAAGAATTTTTAGACTGAACTTCTTTGGGAAGCTGCCTAAGTTTTCTTATGGCTTTATCTTAGCTGGTGTAGAGTCAGCCTTTGTGAAGAAAGCCAGTATGCTAGCTAGTTGTCTGGGGTGGTATTGTAGCGTTTTTCCCTCTTTGGCAGGAAGTCTAAGCTGGGCTTCTGGAGGTAAGGGCCTGCCCAATAGGGAACCTAATCTGAAAGTTACATGATACAAAAGCAGTTCTCCCTATAACTAGAGAGCCTGAGGACAGCTTTCTTAAAATGTCAGGGAACTGACATGCATAAGCTTGTTATTTGATCCACAGACTCTTGGATCATTATACATTTGTGTTTTGAGGAGTACATTTGCCTGTTACTGTAACTGCTCTGTGTTTCCTGCTTTTCTGTGTGTTCTCAAGGGCTACTCAGTGAGAATTAAAACATGTGTAGGAACCTCTTCCTGGATCAGGAAGATGAAGATTCTTTAAGTGCAGGGCTCAGCATCAGATAGTAGATATATCAGGCTTTGTAGACAATATTGTCTCTGTCACAACTATTCAACTTCACTATGGTTGCACTAAAGGAGCCATACATAATACATAAACAAATGAGTGTGGCTGTATTCCAGTAAATCTTGTTTTACAAAAACAGGCAGTGGCCCAGAATTGGCCAGTGGACCATGGTTTGCCAATCCTTGCTCTAGAACTCAAGATTTCCAGTCATTTTGTATCTCCCCAGAATTGCGTAGATACAGCAAGTCCTGAAAGCAAGGTTTTGTTTTGTCTGCATTTCTTCCCAGGTCCTTGTCAATGTTGTAATAGCTTTCCCACTAAAGCATCAAAGTCTTTTAAGCACCAACATTTAATTTTTAGAACTTATTTTATGCAGAGATCTTCTTAATGTTTGTTTGCAGTTTTTTTAGTGCTTGTTTTCTTAGCAAATACCAAGCCTTTTCTCTTGATTCAGAACCGTTAAAAGTTACATTTATAAAGCTGTATAGTCATATGCACTGCAGGGCTTATTGACCCTATTCTAAAAGGCTCCAGGCTATATAGTCCTTCACATTTTGTGTTTACTTTCATAGGCTACTCCTCCTACCTATAAGGGTTTGCTGCCACTTCCTGTTGCTGTCTCCTGACTTGCATGTAATAGTACCTCTGCCCTCTCAATCTCTTAATTCACCCTTAATAAAAATTTGAAAGACCTGGGATAGAAATACTAGTACACTGATATAACAACAAATGAAGATCTGAGTATGGACATTTTCCTGTCTATTTTGGCTACTCAGAAAAATTTCCTTGGGCCAAGTTTTTAGATCTTAACTGTTTAATATAGATGAAGCTGATGGTTCTAAAAAATTAGGAAGGTATGGTAAAACCAGAAGAATTTTACATCAGAAAAGTCTGACAATCAAGTCAATCTTTTTCCCAAAAATTAAGAAAAGATTGTATTTCCTAAATTTCAACTGAGTCCCCTTCTTTCCCCAGACTATATTGATTCCTATTTTCCCTGAAAATATCTGCATTGCCACACTTTATATTTTATTATATTCCATCTTCTAGTGTTTCACATCTGTGTCCCCAAGTGGAATTCTAAGCTATTTGAGACTGAGGACTATTATAAATCTCTGAATTTTCCCATATACTAGCACCTCAGAGCATTAAAGACTGCTTGAAACCCAGCAAGTTCCTATTGGCCATTTTATTACTCAGATGTTAAAACTTAGCTTCGAACTAAAGTTATTAAAGTATCTGTGCCTGAAAAGGACATAGTTGTCTGGGAGAGTAGATATAAGGAGAGAGGGACTAGTTAAAGTCTAGTAGCCTAACATAAAGATTGCAAAGGACTTGATGTGTTTTCCTATGTAGAAGGCTGAGTAGGTAACAGCTAAGTGAATACAGAGCCTAGAATTTTACCTCTTCTGGAGATGGATTTTGTTGCTTATGTTCCTTTGGTTTAGGAGTTTTGTTTTGATCCTTTTCAGAAAAAGTTGGACTGTCTGAAAAGCCTGGATCTATTTAACTGTGAGGTTACTAACCTGAATGACTACCGAGAGAGTGTCTTCAGGCTTCTGCCCCAGCTCACTTACCTGGATGGCTATGACCGAGAGGACCGTGAAGCCCCTGACTCAGATGCTGAGGTAGATGGTGTGGATGAAGAGGAGGAGGATGAAGGTGAGTGGACTCAACATCCAGTGAACTTGATTTCTTACTTTCAATGGTCCTGATAAAAGTTGCTGAATGTTCTTGCTATTGAGAAAATTGTCTATGCATGTAGGCATTTCATTAAATTTGGAACTAGGACCTCTGTTTAATTTTAATAAACTCTTGGGACATTGAAGCCTTAAAATGATTCAAAATACAGTGAAAATGGTTTGTTAGCAAATGATCGTTCGAATTTTAGCCTAGAGATTATAAGACGGCTTCTGTTCAGCCCATTGAAGAACTCATAGGGTACTCAAAAAAACATGGTCTTATGTCTCCATGCCTTTCTCCTACCTTTCCCCTTTCATAGTTACTGCCTACTTTTCCTTACAAACTGAGCTTTGTTGGCACCTCCAGGAAGCATTTCCTGATGTACACAGCTAGCTTAGGTTCCTGTGCATGCTAGACTACCTGCTTACTTGCTCTTACAGACTTGCCACTGTGCTATTCTTAACTCTTCCTACAGTGCTACAATTATCTTGTTGGGTAGACACTGTCTTTTATCTCTATACATAGGGCTTGGCACTTAGTAGGTACTTGGTATATATTTATTATAGCCAGATATAAATAAAATAGCTCTCCTGCCTTTGGTACATGACTGGAGTTTAAGAAGGTAATGATTTCACAGTATATATGTTAGATTCCAGTTTTCATTAATAAGGGAAATAATCTCTGGTCATACTGTGAAGTTAAAATATTGTTCTCAGTATTTCTAGCAATTGATCAAGGGTTTTTACATACCAGTTACCCTTTTTTATTTTTGGCTGCTGGCTGTTTTGGGGATCCGAACCCTTGACCTTGGTGTTATAACACCACACTCTAACCAACTGAACTAACCAGCCAGCCCCTTATACCAGTTATCTTTAAGAATCTTTTTATATATTTTTTTACCCAAAATATCCCTCCTGATTAACTTGTGTTTTTCTTGCACATGGACTCATTTTACTCTGAGTCACTCTTCTTAGGATAAAAGGTTTCTCACCTCCAAGTGGCTTAGAGGAAGCAGAGCAATTAGTTTTCGTATCAGTCACCACAAAGAAAACTTGGTCTCAGAATTCCTGATGTGGCTGGAGTTCATAGTATTGTTACATTTTAAGCATCTTTTTTCTTTAAACAGTAACAAAAATGACACGTTTCTTGTCCTTGGAGCTTATTATCTACTAAGAGAAGAAACATTTTTAAAGAAAAATCATAATTACAAGTGAGCAAATTGTGCTATAATGGAGAGACACCAGGCGCTCATGTGAGAGCCTGTAACCTGGGATTAGGAGGTCTTGCAAGACTGCCTCAGGAAGTGATGTTAACTAAGATGCAAAGGTTGAGTCTGAATTAGCCAAGCAGAGAGGAAGGGAAGAGCATGTGGAGGCCAGGAGGCAGGAGAGAGCATAGTGAGCTTTGGGACCTAGGAGAAGGAAGAACTGCTATACTAGAGGTCAGCACCTAGTGGTGTGGAGACCGAGCTACCTCTCAGCCTCCTATCCCCCGAGTCACAGCGTTATCATGGGTGTCTCTCAGGTTCCTGATTTGAGCAACTGGTTCTGGTGGTATGTTACCCAAGAGAAGGAGCATGATTTTTTTTTTTTTTTTTTTTTTTTTTTTTTAAACTTTTTACTGTGGGAAATTTTAGTCATTGACAAAGGTAGAAATAGTGAAATGAGCCCCCGTATTCTTCTCATCTCTCATCTTCAGCAATTATTGGTCATTGCTGATCTTGTTTTATATGGACAAACTCCTGTCTACTTCCCCCTTTCTGTATTATTTTGAAGCAAATCTCAGATATTGTAACATTTCACTGGTAAGAATTGTAGTGTGTATCTGGTCCACCAGACCTCTAGCCTCTTGATTTTATGGGACTCTCTTGGACAGAGGGACTGGGCTGTGCAGTACTTGGTAGAAAGAGGATCACTGCGGTTCACGGTCTCCCCTGGTGTTGGTGCAGCCCAGCTTTTGTCCTCTGGATCAGCCTATAGCTCCCCACTACCTTAGCAGATGTGCCCCATGGAGCATCAGGGGTATTTAATTAATTCCTTTTTGTACTATTTTCAGAAGGAGAAGATGAGGAAGACGAGGAGGATGAGGATGGTGAAGAAGAAGAGTTTGATGAAGAAGAGGATGAAGATGAAGACGAAGATGTAGAAGGGGAAGAAGATGAAGATGAAGTCAGTGGAGAGGTCAGTGCAACTTTTCTGCCCTGTGTTCTATATCTAGTCACAACAAAAGTGTGGTTTTTAAAAGTTCTAGAAAGAAAAGGGCCTTCTGAAGAAATCAGTATACTTGTAATAGACTCATATTGTGAATCTGATTGATTTAGCTTTCGTCCCCCTTTTTATAAATACTAAATGGAATGCCTACTGAATGCCATCTGGATACAGTGCTTGGCTCTGCAGGGTAAGTTTTGGCCTTTTAACTTTAGAAGGAAGGAACACATTTAGTATTGAGTAGGGTGAGAAAACTGGAAATGTTGAGAATTTATGGCATGTCTGTTCCTTCATTCTATTGAAGGGAAGTATATGTTTATCAAGTCTGAACTTATTCTTACGTATTCAGTTTAATACAGTAAATATATTGTATACCTGCTATGGTAAAGAGCTGAGTGTGTAAAGTTAAATAAGAATGTTGTCCTGCCATGAAATAGTAGGTAATCTAGTTTATGGAAAACCCAATAATACAATATCTCTGAGAAAGTGAATGCTATAGGAGAACAGGAGAAAAGAGGGGAACTTGACTTTGACCCTCCAGGAGATTTGGGAAATAGGCAGAAAAAGTTAGCTGTCATCAAAAAGCATTTTGTCGGGCCGACCCGGTGGCGCACTGGAGAGTGCGCCGCTTGGGAGCGGAGGCGCTCCCACCGAGGGTTCGGATCCCATGTGGAGACCGGTTCGCGCTCACTGGCTGAGCGTGGTGCAGGCGCAACACCGAGGGTTGCGATCCCGTTACCGGTCAGTAAAAAAGACAAAAAGGAAAAAAAAAACATTCTGTCTTGTTGTATAAAAGTAAGGTTGAATATTTGTATGGTATCATATGTGAAAGATGACATTAAGGTCCTGAAATAAGCTTTACAAGAATGGGAATATAGGAAAAAATCTTTGTCCAAACCTGCTTTGAAATTTAAGATTTTAAAATCATTTCTTGAATATTCATTATGAGTTGTATACTAATTATAAACATATCTGGCAGATAACCTGTTTACTTCTGAAAAGTTTTTTGTTTTGTTTTTTAAGAAAATTTTAAAATTTAAGCTTGTTGAGGAAAATCAGAACTCAAAAACAGTACATAAAAGTAGAAAAAAGTAATGTTTTCTCCTTGATATATCATTACATTTATTTGTAAAGTTTTTTGGCTTTTATTGTATTTCTCAATTTGGCAGTGTTAATCTAATAACATTATGCTGTTGAAATTCTTTAGGAAGAAGAATTTGGACACGATGGAGAAGTTGATGAAGATGAAGAAGATGAGGATGAGGATGAGGATGAAGGTGGGTCTGTCTCATGCATATACCTGGCCATTCAAAAAAATTAGATGAAAACTTCCATTATTTAGAATTTGATACCACTGAGAAGAAAATTAAGTGCCCTTGACCCTAGTGGTCTTCACACGCATGCACTTGTATAGTTGTGTCATCTGTGCTGGCGCAGCCCTCTGCTACCACAGCAATTAATAGTACCTGAGGGCAGGAGGCCTGGTCCATCCTCAGTCCCCATGTTTTAAATGTGGGTTTGACTCCATGATTTGGTTTACTGCCAAGCATGAGATTTCTGTGTTTGGAGTTCTTTCATAAAAAGGATTTAATAATTGGATCATAATTTTTCAGGATATACAAATAGTGTCTTTCCAGTTTTATCAGTATTATTTCTTTCCAACAACTAGTACTACTGAAATAGCTGCAGTTTATTTAATGCTCATTGAATACAGATTCTTATGGTTGTTTAGGTCTCGGGAAAACAAGTTGTTAGTTGTACTTTCCATTGGTTCATATTTTCTCAGCTTTTGCTCTATGCCCCATACTGGACTAATTTTACACTGGATATTACTCTGGTTAGGGCCTGGTCACTGCTTTCAAGGAGCTTTTTGGAACATAGATTTAGCTAATTTCATTAAAATACCTGTGAATTTTTATTAGTTGAAAAAACAGAATTGTGTATGTCTCTGTCTCAATACATAAATATTAAGAAATCCGTTTTTAGTTAATGTTAATTTGCTACAATTTGAATTTTAACCATGTTGTATGCTAACTACTTCGTGTGTCTCATTTGATTCTCAGAATAACCCTTTCAAGTCAATATCATTGTCCCCATTTTACAAAGAAACAAGGCTTACAGAGGTCGTGGTGTGCCCAAAGTTACTTATAAACAAGCGTGGCTCAAAAACAGACTAGCTAACTCCAGAGTTTTTACAATGCATTTTAACAATTGCTAGATGTCTAATTGGTGGGGCCAACAAATTAAGAAGAATAAGAAACATTGGGAAGAAAACTTAAGATCGAGAAAACTGGGTTAACTTTGCCATGTGAGTTGAGGTGCTGCAATGCATTTTGCCCTTCTTGGCTCTGTGGTCACCACTTATACTTGCTTTTAATTAGTGCCTCTTAGTCAGTAACTGTTAAATTGATCAAGTTTGCATCTTTTATCAGCCAACCATCAAAAATTTGTCATTTCCTCCATTATCAATAACCTAGGTAAAATGTCTTTCCAATGGTCTCAAAGCCCATTTGTGTTATTGTACAGAGGAGGAAGAAAGCGGGAAAGGTGAGAAGAGGAAGAGAGAAACAGATGATGAAGGAGAAGATGATTAAGACCCCAAATGGCCTGCAAAAACAGAACTGTTCAGTATTGGTTGGACTGCTCATGGATTTGGTAGCTGTTTTAAAAATAATAATAATAATAATAAAGGTAGCTGTGATACAAACCCCAGGACACCTACCCACCCAAAGAGCCAAAGAATAGTTCCTGTGACATTCCACCTTCCTCCATTTAGTCCCTCTTGGTAATCCACCACCAAGCTTGGGGACTTTACCCCAACAAAATTGTAAGCGTTGTTAGGTTTTCGTGTAAGACTCTTGCTGTAGTGTGGATAGCTGTGATTGGTGAGTCAACTGTCTGTGGCTACCAGTTACACTGAGATTGTAACAGCATTTTTACTTTCTGTACAACAAAAAAGCTTTGTAAATAAAATCTTAACATTTTGGGTCTGTTTTTCTATGCCTTTTTTTTTTTTAAGTGAATTTTACATTAGGACATATTAAGTGACAACTGCCAAAAAAGTATTTTTAAGAATTTAAGTGAAAGAAACACATTACTCTTTGGCAAAGTCTAGTCATATGCTTACATTTTAAAATTAGACTGTACACTCATGTTAAAACATACTAATGAACTGGTTTCTTTTTATATATATATATTAGTGGGTTATTGAAGGGAAATTCACAAGTGTGTAAGATCTTTGAGCATTTAAATCTAATTCTTTAAATCTAATCCTTTGAGCATTTAAATCTAATTCTTTACGACTGTGGGCGTAAATGAGGTAGATTTTTTAAAAATAATGTTCACAATTGAATGCTCTGGAGCCCCTGAAAACCAGTAAAATAATGTTAGGCTCAAGTAATAACATTAATTGAGAAAAAAGGATAGTGTAAAGGAAAAGGCCTTAACCACAGTCTTGGGAGATCTGAATTCTAGTTCTGGCTCTGTCACTGTGACCTTGCATTGCACTCTGGGTCACCTCTCAGTCTGTAAAATTGAGGGGGTGTAACCAAATGGCTTCTGAAGTCTCTTGCAGTGCTGATGGTCTGTGACCCTTGCTGACAGGAAGGTCTGGGGGGAAAAATGGGTTTTGCACAGAGGCTGAAACATGTAGGGTTTGACTGACAGGTGAACAGAGTATGGCTTGTTATCAAGACAGGCGTGCTAAGGAGGAATGACATGTGAAAAGCCTCACTGAGGAGTGGGTAGGCATTGCCTGAGGTCAACTTATCTTTTCCAGAAGATGGAAATTTTCTCTATTCTTACAGATCTTAAAGGAATTTGGGTGAGGGGAAGGATATTGTGCAGTCTATAGTCAGTGGTTCAACCATGTAATGAAAATAGATACATGACTATATTGTCAATAATAGTTTTTTATAGTGGAAGATTTGAAGGTTGTTTTAGTAAATTTTAGGCATGTAAAAGCGACATGAAAAATTATAATCTAATTTGAATTTACAGCTAGAAAAAGTTGTGTAGTCTCAGTGGAGCCCCCAAATTGTGTACTGTAAAATTGAAGTCTCCCATATACCTTAAAGTGGAGCTTATTTTTTGCAAAGGAAATTCAAGAAAATTGAATTTCATTTCTGGTTAAGTGGTGTTACTTTGTTTTCCCTGACCACAAGGCCTTATATGCCATTTGGCAAACCCTCGATACATTGTAAAATGGTTTCTTTTATAACCCAGGTGTTCTTAAGGTTTTTCATATGTTCTCAAATATCAAACATGGTAACTTTGGATGGTTATTTTTCCTGCTTTTCCAAATTTGTAGAACTTTTCAGTATCTACGGAGCACCTAGGATATGCCAAGCTCATTGGCTGGGCAAGAGGGAGGAGGATTGGATTAGAGACAAGTCAGCTTGGTGCTCATAGTCACTAGTAAGGAAGAGAAAACATGTAAGTGCTATTTTCTAGGACCTAGGAATAAGTGTTAAGGTAGTCCAGAGGCTGGAGAGGTGATGTTCAAGTAGGAGAATCTGGGAAGTTTCCTAGGAAGGGAAAGTATTTGAGATGCATGTGCAAGGGTTTAGACATAGGAATGGAGAAAGGGAGAGAGGATCATGATAAGCAGAGGTCAGAGGTAGGAAATTGCTGAGTACATTTAGGTACAAATTGGCAGATCTGATAGAGAATGAGACAGGAATGAAAGGTGAGACTGGAGAAGTAATCTGGGTTCTCCCAGACAGCCTTGAAGGTTGAACCTTTTCTTGGGCATTTACCTTGTGTAAAATTTCAGCTTGACCTACATATAGCCAATGAGGATGTTTAGGGAATTATCAAGCCAGGACTTCATTTTGATCATGTTTTTCTTTTAAAATTAGTTTACCTGAAGCCTTTGACATCATTCTGT